GTAAATAATAATTAATAATGATATTTGTCTCTTGTAGCTACGGTTAAAGGAATTTATAGAGCATTGTTGTCAAGTAAGGCATTACTTCTTTACTATTAAAAAGTGCGGAAATGAGACATGCATGATTTGCCTACCAGTTCGATATTCTCGGAAAGAATTTAAACAACTTCATTGTATTCCCGATCCAACCCCTGGTAGTGATCTTCATTATAAGTCCTTTGAAGAACTATATGGCACCACTACAACAGAAGAGTATAGGCCCTCTCTCAAAGATACTAAATTACGGAACACTAAGTCAGGTAAAATGAAAACTACTATGAAACATACCATGCTATTCAGTCCTTCTTCTATATGTGCAAAAAATGTTGGAGTCACTGTTATTTGTTCTGAATGTGAGAAACCCCGCCTACTATTTAGTGCAAAGAAATTGCCAACAAAAGAACGCGAAATGTTAGAATCTTTCTTTGATACTATTTTGTACACATGGGCATGTCATTTCACAATACCTGTGATTTTGCATCTATCAAATTAATCAATACTGATGACAGTGGTGACCAACAAGGTGACCAACACAACGACGACCAACGTAGTGACCAACACAGCAACCAACACAGCGACGACCAACATAGCGATGACCAACACAGTAACAATCAACATAGCAACGACCAACACAGTAACGACCAACACAGCGACAGCCAACACAGTAACAACCAATACAGTAGTGACCAACACTATAATAATCAACCAAGTGACGACCAAGTGACGACCAATTAAATGACCAACTTGATAACCAACAAAGCGATGATCTACAGCTTGATAGCGAGTATGAATACGATGATGTAATTGCTGAACCTAGCAGTCCTTACATAGAAAATTCAGAGGTTAGTGACGAAGAAGACATAGATAACAAGCCTAATGAATCTGAAGCTAGTTCGGAAAAAAATTCTACAAGTGATCCTATCTATGATCTCTTCTAGCGGGTCTTTGTAAATGATTCTTGGAGCTGTGCGTCACCAATCGAAAAGCCCTACTATTCGGCGGGAATCTTTCGTCTTGTGTGTTTTCTGTGTGGTAGTAAAAATGTGACAAAACCCGCAAAAAATGAACAGCCAGTTTGTGCTGGGTGTGGTGGAACGTAGGGATGGAAAAGTTTGGTTTGGTTCGTTTTGGTTTAATTCAAATTTGATTGATGCATGATCTGCATAAGTAAGAATTTATATTAGGTCGGACCAAACTTCCCCATCCCTAAAAAAACGGTATAAATGGAGTCCAGGTGTTAATAAAAAAGGGAAACAACGCCGAACAGAGTAATAGCAATAGTATTTAACACGATAAAATATCGTATTTGTTAATAGTAAAATCCATATGTAATAAATAACCAATCAGAGAATTGAATTCAATTCCAATTTCTTTATTGTATACTCCAATCCTCGTGCAATTTGATTGGCTACCTACCTACTGCGGCATAAAAAAAAATTTTGAGTTTTGACATTTTTTGACCCGGCCGGGATATGAAAACCAATTTATTTTATTTGTATCGCCTAATTAATAACGTTTTTTTTTTTTACCAAATAAGAAACTTTTTATTATTTTATATATAAAATTTAAAAATAGAATTAAGATCCAAATTTAATTAAAAGGTTTATAAGAAACAATTTAAAACTTTACGCTCTAAGCTAATGCATAATGTGGGTTTCATTGAATTAATATTATGTATACATATGGCTGAAACTATTTTGGCATATTCAAAACTAATTACGACATAAACTGTAATAGTTTCGATTCAAGCAGAAATCATTACTATTTCGGCTTATTCAAAACCAATTACAACATAAACTGTAATAGTTTCGATTCCAGCAGAAATCATTATTATTTTGGCTCATTTAAAACTAATTACAACATAAACTGTAATAGTTTCGATTCAAGCAAAAATCATTATTATTTCGGCTCATTCAAAACTAATTAACAACATAAACTGTAATAGTTTCGATTCAAGCAAAAATCATTACTATTTCGGCTCATTCAAAACTAATTACGATGTAAACTGTAAGTTTCGATTCAAGCAGAAATCATTTCGATTATATGTATACTATACACCAAGGAAACAACTATTACGCACAACTTAATAAGTATTTAAGTCACGTACTGTATCTGTATCTTCTTAGAAGTGACGGAAGTGGTTACGTTATTGATGCAGATCACTATCTAAAATAGTAGCTAATCTATCACTAAACCCTAACGCTAAGATCTGCATCAAAAACGTAATCACCTCTGTCGCGGGTTTCATCCTGGTTTCATCCTTTCATATTATTTTCGTAGAGTAAGGCTTAAAGTAGGGACGTGTGGATTTTGTGATTTGTTATGATCGAACAAATCACCAAAGTGTATGGTTTACTGTGATTTGCTTCAATTACAGCAAGATATCTTTTCAAGCATATTAAACAGCTACATTTTTTTTAGCAAATATAATAAAATTATTATTTTGTTTAGTAGAGTATAATAAATTACTATAAAATAGTAGTTTATAGTATTTTGTTCGATGAACAGAATAAATTAGAGTCAACTCTTTATATAACGAATTAACAGTTCTGGAAGACCCCGAAATTATATTAATCAATCAATGGTAAACCCCGAAAAATTTTTTTGAACCCCTGATCTGTACCGATAACGCGTCTAACCCATCTTCCCCATAGGTTAACACACCCGACGCATCTCATTATTATGAAATTTTAAAATTTTGAGATCAGAATTCATAATTACGAGTGTTTCGCGTTATTATAATCACCTGCGCGTTATTTCAAGTAAGTCATTTTTGCTTTTTAAAATAAAAGACAAACTTTCAAGCCTTGGATATTACTATATATGATAAATCTGATGATATATTATTTGAGATGAATTATCTCGGGACGCTCATGAGCGTTGTTTTGAAATTAACCATACTATTCTTAAAGGAACCGATTTCAATGATCATTATTCAGTAATCACGAGCAGCTCACAATTACCTGGAATCGTGTTGAATAGTGTAGTAGTTTTTGGCAGAATAAGCTATATAATCAATAACAATGAAATTTATTTAAAATATTTAAGTTCAGTAAAATCATCTAGTTTTACAATAAAATACATGCCACACCTTTTTCCTTATGGCAAAATACCTGATTAGGATTAAACATTACGATAGGAAAGTCATTGAGTCATTCTTTATGTGAACTCACTGCGATCAAATACCGATTCTATAATTTAATTCAGATCAATTCGAAAAGTATTACTCATGAATGAGCAGTTTCAGAAATGAATACAATCTGGTCTAAAATTTTTATATTATATGACAGAGTGAAACATCTGTCATCGGACTTTCAATTATATTTTGTGATCTATGGGCAAAATATAATTGAGAATCCGATGACGGTTTTCACTCAAATAGTGAAATCCGCTATGATTATCACATGAGAGAGGGTGAAACCCACTTTTATATAATAAAAACATAATAAAACGAATTTCACTATTTCGTAGTACAGGTTTTACCCTGTTCGAATAATAATTAATAACGAATACCGTATTTTCTCTATTTTTGGGGATCGTCTAAAGCCAGGTAGTTTTTAAGTTGATTAGTAATAAATTTGTAAAGTAAAAGTCACGTGAGAAATATTAATTACTATATACCTGGCTATGAAAATTTTAAACATAACAATATTAAGTTTTTTTGAAAAATTAGTAAAACTTGACCAAATTGCATGAAAATTTCAGAGTACACGCATTTCTAGTAAAGCTACATTAATTATTAATTTTATAAAAAACAATCATAATCAAATCTTTATATATAGTCTCCAGTGCCCCAACGGGAAACACCAGGTTCAAGACCTAATGATGCGATAATATAATATCCCTCCATAGATTGTATGCATTCAATTTTATTGGAGATTCCAAAATGTTACACGATACAGTCAGACGATTTAAAATATATTATCAAGAAAATAAAGTATATAATAGTTTGAACACTTTTCTAACGATTGTAAAATGTAAACAGTTTAAGTGAAATTTAGTACTTTTTTTAAAAAAAAAATCAATTTTTTTTACTAGATAAATTTTTAGAATTCATGTAGGGATAAGTAAACGAATCCGTACTTTTATTATTAATCAAATAATTTACTGTTATCGAAAACATATTTTACTAAATTATGTCACGAATTTCGCAGGTCCCTGGTGGATAGTAGCTAGCGAATTTACATCAAAAATACGTATGAATTTTGGATAATTTAGTTATACATGTATATGCATATTAATTAAAATGCAGTACGTAATGGTAGAAACTATTATGGCTTATGCAGTACGTAATGGTAGAAACTATTATGGCTTATGCAGTACGTAATGGTAATTTGATTCAGTGTTTTACAGTATCCTCTCCCTCCTGAGACCCATATTATACATTAGAAATTTTATTTTTGGATTATTCTGAACAAAACGACAAAGACAAAAACACGAAAATTGTTATAAAGTTTATAATAAATCATAAGAGAACATATAAATTTTAAAGATCTATACGTACGGCAAAATTTTATAAATACACCTGTGTTTGTGCCTTAAATTAAAAATAATCTTAATCTTATTCTAAATTTATTTACGCAAAAAAAAGTTTTTTTTTTTTTTTTGAAAAATTTGTCAATTTCCTCCTTTTTGCAGCATCTAGTCCATATATACTATATATATATATATACAGTATATATATACTTAAAGTTTTTTTTTTTACTAAGATAAAATAAGATTCAAATTGGTTTCGCCTAAACCATAGCGGTAACAGGTTATAATGCAACTCTTTCGAGGTGCATTTTTCGCACGAATTATACAATGAAGCATTTTTCTTACATATAAATTATATACGTATTAAATATATATATATATATATATATATATATATATATATATATATACGTATTTATAAAATTAGTAAAAGTTAAGAAATACCATAAAATAATGGCGACAATATCATTTCCAATAAAATGTCTCTTGGGTTTTCCAATTATAACCAATTGTTGGTTGGTTTAAAATTTAATTCGATGTTTTTTTAGCCATATCTTTTTTTCTGAGAAAGCTTAAATGGTTTGGAAGTAAAGACACTTGCATATATAATATTAGTATACTATACATTATTTATGCAAGATTGAAATTATTTAAATAATTCTCTTATGGTCTGGAAGCCTATACTAGACAATAAAAATAGTATAACTTTATAACCTTAAAACGCATCAACTTTTTATAGAAGCATATTTTTAAGAACCATTTTGTAGTACTTATTAAGAAGAACAAAGTTACCGGTCAGATTTTAAAATTTTGCTTCTATAAAAAGTTATAGCATTTTAAAGTTCATTTAAAATTGAACCATATAGTAATTATAAATAAAACAATAATAATTTTTTAAAAAACGCATTCAAAAAAAATATTTAGCAAATTTATAGAACTAATATTGCTCTACAAAGTTACCAATCAGTTTTTGAAAACCTTTTGTATAAAAAGTTATTTATAGTGATTTAAAAAATTGAAACTTGTCGAGTATAGACTTCTAGTACGTACCATATGTGTATGTATTTTTAACAAAATGTTCGATAATCACATAATCACATCATTACTACGTATCATTGACTATCTCACTAGTGATCATTTTTGATTATACTAAAATTTTTCTTCATATCGTCGGTTTGAGTTTATTCTTGCCCGTTGAAAGTACACACTAGGTTCGTGGTTCACTTAGAGATTTCTCGGTATTTCTACCTATCGCTACGATAAAATTATTAAATTACCAAAACGGAAACGGTAAAGTCGGAGAATGTTTAGTCGATTAGTCAATCGACTAAAATATCGGCCATAGTCAGTTAGTCATTAGTTAATTAGTCTAATTTAATTCTCTTTTAACAAATTGAATATGTACTGTTTGTTAGTTTTAGGAAAAAGTTAAAGTTTGGATTAGCGTTATCGTTATGGTTAAATTATACGTACGTAGTTAAAATGGTTTTCCCAATTATATATATATATATATATAGTATAATATATATCGATACATATATACCGATACATATATACTGTATCGGTATGTCAACCCAGAACGCAGAATGTGTATATCTTTGTATTTAGATGGACAACCGGTCAGAACCGGTATCTTTATATGGTGTAGTGTATTTTTGATAAAAGATGTATATGTACGTACGTACTGTACGTACGTAATTAATTGTAAAATTTAGGTGTTAACCATTTTTACTTGATGAATTTTACTTGATGAATTAAATAATGTATAAAATCTTTGAGATATTAATATATATTTCTTTTAGTATATCGACAGATAAAAATTACGAAAAAACAATTATCTAAAGCGATCAATTTAGTTATTTCGGTTATGCATTTTAAAAAGTTCTCAATCTTGCAAAAAGGATTATATTCAGATGTAATGGTTTTTTTTTTGGAGGCTCTAATTTTAATTAGGCAGTTTTAATTCTAGATTACGTGGAAATATTAAGCTTTTTTTTAGATAATAAATATCATAAGTATTTGGTTTCATAATATGGATATCTACGTACGTATTAAGTATTCATTTCCTATTCTAGTAATTATAACGGATAAAATGTGTATGTAGGATGGCACGACATCATTGAAGGAGGTATCACAATGTTGTCTCTAATACGTATTATATTTATTGTGAGTGGGGAATTTCTTAGGATTTTAGGATTAGAATGTGTTTGTAAAATTATAATTTTATTAAGACTCTCTAAAGTTGGATTGAATAATGAAACACATCTTTTTCTTTATTAATTTAATCTATACCGATACATTGTGAGTCTGTCGATCATTTAATTATGATACGTAGATCGAATACCTATTAAATGACACGCATGTGATTTTATATATTATTATATAGAAAAGATCTGTTACATTAAATTGTATACTAAGATTTGATTGGTTGATTAAAATATGCGATTGAATGATTAAAAATATGCATTATTGAGCTTTTAATATCGATCGCACATATAAAAGCCAATAATAGAAGCAGGTTTAAAAAGGTATTTTAATACTTACATATATCTTACATATATATTTGTACACATATTCCATTCTTATTTATTAATTAGACATTCGTCTTTTGAAAGTCTACTTTTGTTTTTAATTCTTTAAATAGATCTTTTTAATTTTTTTTTTTTTTTCTTAATAAACCCGTTATTTTCAAAGGGTCTGCCTTTTTGCAGTACGTGAGGATATTCTTCGTTAAGGAAATAAAAACCTACAGCTCGTTATTGTGCTTTGGCCCTAAGTGAATTTCAAAATGATAAAATCATACTTGTTTTTGTTAGCTGCCTTGGCTTTTTCCTTTTGTTTCATATCAAAAATCGAATCTTTTGACCGTAAGTTTACAACTTTCCTTTAATCTTTCATCGTTTATCGTCCAGAGAAAAAAATTGTACAGTTGCATTATCTAGTCAAGCAACCATCCTTGTTTTTTTATATTCTAAATCATTCTCGTTTTTATACATTCAAAATCGTTCTCGCTCTTATACATCCAAAATCTTTTTTACATTCTGAATTACTTACTCTTATTCGTTTTTATTCCATTTTAATAGCAAACGCTATTCCCTATGCTACCAGAGATAGCTGGTGTAAAAATAACATAGCAAATTGTCAGACTTTTTGCAGGGATAATGGAACAACCGGTGCAACAACTAACACTTGTGATGCTACCACTTTCACTTATTCATGTGTTTGTTCTGACGGTCGGTCGCCAGATTCAAACTGTAATTATTAAAAAAAATAATTTTTTTTATTATAAACTTTTTTTAAATATTTTTAAATATTTTGATTAATTCTTTAAAATCTTTTATTTTCGACTCTTTTGTCCACAGATTATACTATGCCAGTTGACTACTTTAAATGCACTAGTGACCAGGACAATTGTACCCAAAAATGTGGGCCTGCCAACCAGGATTGTGTTAATAAGTGTGCAGGAAATTGTTCTGCTACAATGAAAAAAACATATACATATGCGTTGCCCTCGTCTACTCTTGGATCTACTCAAACATCAGCTACATCAAGTACTAAATCTTCTCCTAGTAGTCTATTAACCCCCAGTCTTGCCAACAAATCAACTCCCGCAATAACAATCGGGCTTCTTATTGTTTTCTTAACTTCTATAACTGTATTTATGTTTCGACTGTAAAATTGAGGAAAGCTTCGAATTTTTATTTTAATAACACGGCAATGGTAATTTAATCTCCTCAATTCTTATATATTTTTTTTTAATAACGATAGTATCTACAATATTAATATATTTATGCGTACTTTCGTACTTTTGTATATCCTGTTATACAAAAAGTATAGTTTTTTGGTTTTCTTTTGAGAATCCTTATTTTTAGTAAAAAAAAATTTTTTTTTTTTTTGGTCAAATATAAATCCAATTATAAATAGATATATAGTTATTAATAATGTGTCTCACATTACTTATGCAACTCATTAGAGACACTTATTAGTTAGACAGTTACTTTAATAAAAAATATAAATTGTATTGCTCAATGAAAACCTGTTTGAACTTTTTTACATACTGTACTTAAAAATGGTTAGAATTAAATGGAATATATGCATTATAATCGTATATATAAATCTGTATATAATCTGTATACTATGTATTCAGTTTTTTTAGACATCGAAAATGCACGTCGCTGCATTAAGGCGTTCTAAACCTACTGATAAAGGTACTCTTTCAATGTTGCTCAATAATTGTGATCAATTAAACAATTTATGATGCAAGTGTGCACTTAAAAATTGCGTGCGTTATCGAATTATTATTTCATTACTTAATTAATACCATAAAAAGTCCCACGCTCGTATTTTTTGTTTATTTTTCCGAGAACTAGTCCTATATTTCATTTAATTTCATTTAATATATACACTAATATTTATAAGTACAACAATAAGTAGTTGACAATTTAGAGAAAGGATCGATCAATTATCTAGTCAAATCCGTAATTTTATTAGACAGTTAGATGAGATGTATTTAACACTACATAAAAAATTCTGCGATACACGCATAAACATGCTGTCTATGGAGGGGAATAAAAGGTGTCACGAATTTGAATGTGTACCCAAAGAAAGATCGTGTCACGTGATGTTCTGTGGGTAAATAATAAATTTTACAATGCTTTGAAATTTAATCAAAAGTAGGTATATTGCGTCTATCTGCTAAACGCTTGAAAAATATTTAGTAAAGAAATAACAAAAAATTTTAAGTTACTTAAATCAACAAAAATCTGGTCTTTAAAAAAATAATGAAACGTAACACGATCAGAAAAATTCAAAACAAACGTCGCTTTTGTCAAAAATCGCTTATTTCTCAAAACTTTGTATAGGAAACCACCTTTCGTACGCTAATTAAAAGTTTTCCTTGACCGATTTTACTATATAATTGCCCAAATCCTTAAACGAACTTAAGGGTGAGGTATGTAGATCATTTGTTATATAATTTTAGTGATACAATAAATAGTTATTGGATGTGTAGCATCCAATAACAGTTTTATTTGGCAGGAGAAATGAGAATACCGTGATCCGAAGGA